GGCTTGGTTGCTTTTGGTATGAGGTGAGGCAAAACATCATGGCAGAAGGGCATAATGAAGGAAAGCTGCTTACTTCATGGCAGCAGAAGCAAAGAAAGAGGGAGAAAGCTGGTGGTTGGGGACAAACTATACCTTTTAAAGGTACAACCCCAGTTAAGAACTTCCTTCAACTAGACTCCACTTCCTAGAGTTCCACCACCTCATTCAATTATGAACCCACAAATGGATTAATTCATTGATGAGATGAGAGCCCTCATGGTCCAATCACTTCCCAAAAGTCCAACCTATGAAGAACAAGCTTCCAGCACATGAGCCTAAACCACAATGAAGGTATACAATAAACACCTACATTAAAAGAAAAATAAGATCTTAAATAAACAATTTGCATTATACCCCAAAAAGCTAGAAAGAGAAAAAGAAACTAAGCCCAAAGTTAGCAGAAAGAAAGGAATAATAAAGAGTAGAGCAGAAATAAATAAAATAGAAACTATAAAGACAGTAGAAAAACTCAATTAACTTGATTCTTTGAAAAGATAAGCAAAATTGACATATCTTTAGCTAGACTAAGAAAAGAAAGGAGACTCAAAGTAAAAAATAAAGAAGGGACATCACAACTTTTTACATTTAATAAAAAGGATCTTGGGGCTGGGCTTGTAGCTTAGCAGTATTGTACTTGCCTCACGTGTGTGAGGCACTGGATTTGATCCTCAGCACCACATAAAAATAAATAAACAAAAAACAAAGGTATTATGTCCATCTACAACTAAAATTTTTTTTAAAAAATTTAAGAGATGAATATGATCAAGTATGAGCCAACACACTGAATTACCTAAAATAAACAGAAAAATTCCTACCAAGAGTGAATTATTTTTTAAAAAAAAGTTTAAATAGACTTTTAACTAGTAAGGAAATTGGATCAATGCTCAAACATATTCCAACAGTGAAAAATCCAGGACAGATGGCTTCATTGCTGAATTTTACCAAACACTTAAGACAAAAGTAAAATCAATCCTTCCCAACTTCTTTCAAAATTTTTAAAAGATGGGAACACTCAGTCAGACAAAGATACCACAAAAAAGAAAATGAAAGGCATACATACTCATTGAGTATACATGAAAAAAATAATCCTCAGCAAAATATACCCAAATTTATCAACACATTAAAAGCATAACATACCATATTCAACTGGTATTTTTCCCTGAAATGTAAGATTGGTTCAACATACAGAAATCAATTAATGTGATGCACTGCATTAACAGAATGAGAATTTAAATCACATGATGATGTCAATACATGCAGCAAAAGCATTTAATGAAATCTTTCACTCTTCCATGATGAAACCTCTTAACAAACTAATTATAGAAGAATATTACCTCAGCCATGTATAAAAAGCCTAAAGCTAATGTCATACTCAGAAATTAATACTGAAAGTTTTTCCTCTCAGATCAGGAACAAAGCAAGTATCTGCTCTGGCTAATTAAGCTTAACATAGTACTGGAAGTCTTAGCCAGAGCATTTAAGCAAGAAAAACAACAAGAAGCATTAAACAGAAAAGAAAAAAACTTAAGTCTCTTTGTTTGCAGAGGATATCCCATTTATGAAAGCAAAATAAGAATAAAATAGGAATAAACTTAACTAAAGAGATAACACACTCATACATTGAAAGCTATAAAACATTGATAAAGGTAATTTTAAAAGATATAAAAGATGGAAATACATCCTCTGTTCATGTATTGAAATATTTCATATTGTTAAAATGTTCATAATAACCAAAGTTTTCTACAGATTGAATGTCATCTTCATAAAAAGCCAATGAATTTTATACAAATAGTGAAAACAATACTAAAATTTATATAGAATCACAAAAGACCCTGAATAGCCAAAACAATCTTGAAAAAGAAGAACAAAGCTGGAGGCACCATACCTCCTGGTTTCAAAATACTTTGTAATATTATAGTAACTAATAGAGTATAATACTGACATAAACACAGACATCAAATTATATACAAATGGAACAGAATAGAAAGTTCAGATATCAATTCATATTTTACAGTAGTCACCTGATCTTCAACAATGCTGCCAAGAATACACAATGGGAAAAGTACATTCTCTTCAACAAATGGAGTTGTGAAAGCTGTCTGTGTATATGTGAAAGGATGAAATTGGATACTTATGTTATATGGAAATTGTGTTATGTGAAATAACCCAGGACAAATATTTTATTATTCCACTTGTATAAGGTATCTAAAATATTCAAACTCATAAAATCAGAAAACAAAATGATAAAATTATGGTTATCAGGAGTTTGGGTGAGAGGAAAATGAGAGATAGCTAATCAAAATGCATAAAGTCTCAATTATGCAAGACAAACAAATTTTAGAGTTACGATATATACAATTTTGACCTATAGTTAATGATACTTTATTATACATTTAAAAACATACATATAAAAATATTTATAGTAGATCTCATGTTAAGTATTCTTATAAATATAAAAAAATTTAAAAAACATAAATAAAAAATGAAGGAAAACAAGATAAATTTGTGACTTTATTTTCAAAAACAAAACGATAAAAATACAATATCATTTAATGTTATATCAATGAATACAAATTGGCTATATTTATCAATTAATACAGAAGTCTTTCTGATTTTACCTAAAAAATAAGCAAAACAGAATAGATTTTTTATTTTATTTTTAGATATACATGACAGTAGAATGTATTTTGACATATTATACATACTTGGAGTACCACTTATCCTAATTATTATCCCATTCTTGTGTTTGAATATGATGTGGAGTTAAACAGGTTGTGTATTCACACATACACAAAGGAAAATTATGTACAATTAATTCTACTGTCTTTCCTATTCCCATCCCCCCTCCATTCTCTTCATCCCCATTTGTCTAATCCAAAGAACTTCTATTCCACCCACTTATTTTGTGTTAGCATCCACATATCAGAGAGAACATTTGGCCTTTAGTTTTCAGGGATTGGCTTATTTTACTTAGCATGACAGTCTCAAGTTCCATCCATTTACCATAAAATGCCATAATTTCATTCTTCTTTGTGGTTGAGTAATACCCATTGTGTATATATATCACATTTTCTTTATCCAGATGAATATCTGTTGAGGGGCACTTAGGTTAGTTCTGTCACATATCTATTGTGAACTGAGTGGCTATAAACATTGCTTTGGCTGCATCACTGTGGTATGCTGATTTTAAGACCTTTGGGGAAGTACTGAAGAGTGGGATAACTGGGTCAAATGGTGGTTACATTCCAAGTTTTCTGAGAAATCTCATAATGCACTACAGACTGGTTGCACCAATTTGCAGTCAACCAACAATGTACGAGTCTGCCTTTTAAAACTGAAGGTCTTATACAAGAAATACATATTTAAAAAGTGATCAAGAAAGATTGAAAATAAAAGGATAGACAAACTTATATCTGGGAAAAGGCAAACTAAAAGAAAGCATAGATCATGTTATTAATAGATAAAATAGCATTCAATTTTAATTGAGATGTAAGGAAGGAATCTAGATTGTAGGAAGATTATAAGGAAATCACTTGATAGATAAGTAGTAAAGATTATATACATATACTTGAGATGTTTAGACAAAAAGAGAATTTTAGCATTAACTTAATGATATAGCTTGACTAAGTGAAGAGTAATTTTAACAATTTGAGGACCCTTATCAAGTTATCCTTCCTTTCTTTTTTTCTTCCATCTTCCATCTCTCTTTTCTTCCCCTCTTTCCTTCATTTTCCAAGTATCTATTGAGTTTCAAATACATATCAAATATGGTTTTAGCCACTGGAAATGAGCAGTGAATATTCTTTACTAATTTACATTCTATTAGGGAAAGACTTCCACTAAAGATATAAACACATAGAATATATCCCAAGAGTAGATATAAGTGCCAAGGAGGAAAACATACTTAGGCAAGTAGAATAAAAGAATGCAGAGGATGTTGAAATTTTATATAGTGTGTCTAGGAAAGGCCTCATAAAGAAGGTAATATTTGAAACTGTGTGTGGTGGTGCATGCCTGTAATCCCAGGGGCTGGGGACGCTGAGGCAGAAGGATCAAAAATTCAAAGACAGACGCAGTAATGTATGGAGGCCCTAAGGAACTTAGTAACACTCTCTCAAAATTTTAAAAAAATAATAATAATATAAAAAGGACAGGGGATGTGGCTCAGTGGCTAAGTGTCCCTGGGTTTCAATCCCTTGTATTATAAAAAAAATTAAAAGTTAGCTTTTAGTTTGAGTGAAAAGGCAGTTGTTAAAGGATTATAAGGGAGAAGCAACAAAATCTAACATAATTTTCTCTTTTGAGGTAGGTAGAAGAGGAAAGAGAAAAAAAATCAGATTACTAATGAGAAAAGTCATAATTAAATTCCCATATTAATGAAGGACTTAAAGTTGAAGTTTATTTTTCTTTACACCTTTTCAAGCTATTTTACTTTTCTTACAAAATATGGAATATAGCACTTTTAAAATGCTCATTTTATAATGAGTTATTTACAACTGCTGAAAATACAATGGAGCAATTTAGGATATTTTTCAACCTTTAGTGTACATCAGAATTACCTCAAGGACTTGTTAAAACTTAGAGTTTCTGATTCTGTTCTTCTGTGGTAGGACCTGAGAATTTTAATTTCTTGCAACTTCTCTCTGGGCCGGGAGTCTGCTTTGAGATCCCCTGTCAAGATCACATAATGTGCACAGCCATTGCAGAGATGGTCTGAGAATTATTAGCATTTTTAGTAACCCTGTTGAGGCAAGGACCTGATGTTTTGACCCCTAGTATTTATTGCCTCTAAACTCTTACACCTTCATGATTGACATTGGACCTTTTCTTTGTTTATTCATCTACCACAAATTAATTGAAAATAGATAAGTATATTTTGAATACTTACTTCATATTTTTTAAGTCTGAGAGTGATGATTCTGCTTTCCGTGCACTGCGGCGGCGAAGGCGGCCTCGTCTTCCTCCTTCTGCCGTGTTGCCAGATCTCCCGAGGGTATCTATCCCCACTTAAGTCTGGCCAGTTACACCTGTCTCCGCAATGCCCCCCAAGAAACAGGCTGAGGCCGGGGGCAGCAAAAAGGCGGAGCAGAAAAAGAAGGAGAAGATTATTGAGGACAAAACTTTTGGTCTGAAGAATAAGAAAGGCGCAAAGCAACAGAAGTTTATCAAGGCTGTCACTCACCAAGTTAAATTTGGCCAGCAAAATCCACGTCAGGTAGCACAAAGTGAAGCTGAAAAGAAATTGAAGAAAGATGACAAAAAGAAAGAATTGCAGGAGCTGAATGAACTTTTCAAACCTGTAGTTGCTGCTCAAAAAATAAGCAAAGGTGCAGATCCCAAATCTGTGGTGTGTGCATTCTTCAAGCAAGGACAATGTACTAAAGGAGATAAGTGTAAGTTCTCTCATGACTTGACTTTGGAGAGAAAATGTGAGAAACGAAGTGTTTATATTGATGCAAGAGATGAAGAACTTGAAAAAGATACTATGGATAATTGGGATGAGAAAAAGCTGGAAGAAGTAGTGAACAAGAAGCACGGTGAGGCGGAAAAGAAAAAACCAAAAACTCAAATAGTGTGCAAGCATTTCCTTGAAGCTATTGAAAATAACAAGTATGGCTGGTTTTGGGTGTGCCCTGGAGGGGGTGATAATTGCATGTATCGTCATGCGCTACCTCCTGGATTTGTGTTGAAAAAGGATAAAAAGAAAGAAGAGAAAGAAGATGAAATATCATTAGAAGATCTAATTGAAAGAGAGCGTTCTGCCCTGGGTCCAAATGTTACCAAAATCACTCTAGAGTCTTTTCTTGCATGGAAGAAAAGAAAAAGACAAGAAAAGATTGACAAACTCGAACAAGATATGGAAAGAAGGAAAGCTGACTTCAAAGCAGGGAAAGCTCTCGTGATCAGTGGCCTGGAAGTGTTTGAATTTCGTCCTGAATTGGTCAATGATGACGATGAGGAAGCAGATGATACCCGTTACACTCAGGGAACAGGTGGTGATGAGGTTGATGATTCTGTGAGCGTAAATGACATAGATTTAAGCCTGTACGTCCCAAGACAAACTCTTCTCAAGTTCAAGAGTCTAATAGACCACCATACAATAATCATGGGAGACTTCAACACACCTCTATCACCACTGGACAGATCTTCCAAACAAAAGTTGAATAAGGAAACTATAGAACTCAATAACACAATTAATAACCTAGACTTAATTGACATATATAGAATATACCAACCAACATCAAGCAGTTACACTTTTTTCTCAGCAGCACATGGATCCTTCTCAAAAATAGATCATATATTATGTCACAGGGCAACTCTTAGACAATATAAAGGAGTAGAGATAATACCATACATCCTATCTGATCATAATGGAATGGAACTGAAAATCAATGATAAAAGAAGGAAGGAAAAAGCATACATCACTTGGAGAATGAACAATAGGTTACTGAACGATCAATGGGTTATAGAAGACATCAAGGAAGAAATTAAAAAATTCTTAGAGATTAATGAAAACACAGACACAACATATCGGAATCTATGGGACACATTGAAAGCAGTTCTAAGAGGAAAATTCATTGCTTGGAGTTCATTCCTTAAAAAAAGAAAAAATCAACAAATAAATGATCTCATACTTCATCTCAAAATCCTAGAAAAAGAAGAGCAAAACAACAGCAAAAGAAGTAGAAGGCAAGAAATAATTAAAATCAGAGCTGAAATTAATGAAATCGAAACAAAAGAAACAATTGAAAAAATTGACAAAACTAAAAGTTGGTTCTTTGAAAAAATAAACAAAATCGACAGACCCTTAGCCATGCTAGCGAAGAGAAGAAGAGAGAGAACTCAAATTACTAACATACGGGATGAAAGAGGCAATATCACAACAGACACTTCAGAAATACAGAAGATAATCAAAAATTATTTTGAATCCTTATACTCCAATACATTAGAAGATAGTGAAGGCATCGATAAATTTCTTAAGTCATATGATCTGCCCAGATTGAGTCAGGAGGATATAGACAACCTAAACAGACCAATATCAATTGAGGAAATAGAAGAAACCATCAAAAGACTACCAACTAAGAAAAGCCCAGGACCGGATGGGTATACAGCAGAGTTTTACAAAACCTTTAAAGAGGAACTAATACCAATACTTTTCAAGCTACTTCGGGAAATAGAAAAAGAGGGAGAACTTCCAAATTCATTCTACGAGGCCAACATCACCCTGATACCTAAACCAGACAAAGACACTTCAAAGAAAGAAAACTACAGACCAATATCTCTAATGAACCTAGATGCAAAAATCCTCAATAAAATTCTGGCCACTCGGATACAAAAACTTATCAAAAAAAATTGTGCACCATGATCAAGTAGGATTCATCCCTGGGATGCAAGGCTGGTTCAGTATACGGAAATCAATAAATGTTATTCACCACATCAATAGACTTAAAAATAAGAATCATATGATCATCTCGATAGATACGGAAAAAGCATTCGACAAAGTACAGCATCCCTTTATGTTCAAAACTCTAGAAGAACTAGGGATAACAGGAACATACGTCAATATTGTAAAAGCAATCTATGCTAAGCCTCAGGCTAGCATCATTCTGAATGGAGAAAAATTGAAGGCATTCCCTCTAAAATCTGGAACAAGACAGGGATGCCCTCTCTCACCACTTCTGTTCAACATAGTTCTCGAAACACTGGCCAGAGCAATTAGACAGACGAAAGAAATTAAAGGCATCAAAATAGGAAAAGAAGAACTTAAATTATCACTATTTGCAGATGACATGATTCTATACCTAGCAGACCCAAAAGGGTCTACAAAGAAACTATTAGAGCTAATAAATGAATTCAGCAAAGTGGCAGGATATAAAATCAACACGCATAAATCAAAGGCATTCCTGTATATCAGCGACAAAGCCTCTGAAATGGAAATGAGGACAACCACTCCATTCACAATATCTTCAAATAAAATAAAATACTTGGGAATCAACCTAACAAAAGAGGTGAAAGACTTATACAATGAAAACTACAGAACCCTAAAGAGAGAAATAGAAGAAAATCTCAGAAGATGGAAAAATATACCCTGTTCATGGATAGGCAGAACTAACATCATCAAAATGGCGATATTACCAAAAGTTCTCTATAGGTTTAATGCAATGCCAATCAAAATCCCAACGACATTTCTTGTAGAAATAGAGAAAGCAATCATGAAATTCATATGGAAAAACAAAAGACCCAGAATATCAAAAACAATGCTAAGCAGGAAGTGTGAATCAGGCGGTATAGCGATACCAGACTTCAAACTATACTACAGAGCAATAGTAACAAAAACAGCATGGTACTGGTACCAAAACAGGCAGGTGGACCAATGGTACAGAATAGAGGACACAGAAACCAATCCACAAAACTACAACTACCTTATATTTGATAAAGGGGCTAAAAGCATGCAATGCAGGAAGGATAGCATCTTCAACAAATGGTGCTGGGAAAACTGGAAATCCATATTCAACAAAATGAAACTGAATCCCTTTCTCTCGCCATGCACAAAAGTTAATTCAAAATGGATCAAGGAGCTTGATATCAAATCACAGACACGCCGTCTGATAGAAGAAAAAGTTGGCTACGATCTACATACTGTGGGGTCGGGCTCCAAATTCCTCAATAGGACACCCATAGCACAAAAGTTAATAACTAGAATCAACAAATGGGACTTACTCAAACTAAAAAGTTTTTCTCAGCAAAAGATACAATAAGAGAGGTAAATAGAGAGCCTACATCCTGGGAACAAATCTTTACTCCTCACACTTCAGATAGAGCCCTAATATCCAGAGTATACAAAGAACTCAAAAAATTAGACAATAAGAGAACAAACAACCCAATCAACAAATGGGCCAAGGACCTGAACAGACACTTCTCAGAGGAGGACATACAATCAATCAACAAGTACATGAAAAAATGCTCACCATCTCTAGCAGTCAGAGAAATGCAAATCAAAACCACCCTAAGATACCATCTCACTCCAGTTAGATTGGCAGCCATTATGAAGTCAAACAACAACAAGTGCTGGCGAGGATGTGGGGAAAAGGGTACACTTGTACATTGCTGGTGGGACTGCAAATTGGTGCAGCCAATTTGGAAAGCAGTATGGAGATTTCTTGGAAAGCTGGGAATGGAGCCACCATTTGACCCAGCTATTCCCCTTCTCGGTCTATTCCCTAAAGACCTAAAAAGAGCATGCTACAGGGACACTGCTACATGGATGTTCATAGCAGCAAAATTCACAATAGCTACACTGTGGAACCAACCTAGATGCCCTTCAATAGATGAATGGATAAAAAAAATGTGGCATTTATACACAATGGAGTATTACTCTGCATTAAAAAATGACAAAATCATAGAATTTACAGGGAAATGGATGGCATTAGAGCAGATTATGCTAAGTGAAGCTAGCCAATCCCTAAAAAAACAAATGCCAAATGTCTTCTTTGATATAAGGAGAGTAACTAAGAACAGAGTAGGGTCGAAGAGCATGAGAAGAAGATTAACATTAAACAGGGATGAGAGTTGGGAGGGAAAGGGAGAGAGAAGGGAAAATGCATGGAAATGGAAGGAGACCCTCAGAGTTATACAAAAGTACATACAAGAGGAAGTGATGGGAAGGGGAAAAATAATATAAGGGGGACAAACGAATCTCAGTAGAGGGAGCAGAGAGAGAAGAGGGGAGGGGAGGGGAGGGGAGGGGAGGGGAGGGGAGGGGGGATAGTAGAGGATAGGAAAGGCAGCAGAATACAACAGACACTAGTATGGCAATATGTAAATCAATGGATGTGTAACTGATGTGATTCTGCAATCTGTGTATGGGGTGAAGGTGGGAGCTCATAACCCACTTGAATCAAATTGTGAAATATGATATATCAAGAACTATGTAATGTTTTGAACAGCCAACAATAAAAAATTAAAAAAAAAAAGAGAGTGATGATTCTGAATTTTTGAAGAGGTCAAAACATTTTGCTACTAAGCCAAATATATTCATAATACAACATGTTTAAACCAGCTAATTCTTATTATTATTAAATTATAGTTTTCCATTGTTTTTCTGACTTTTTAGAAATTATTTATAGGATTCCACTTTTATCATTATTACAAAAAGGAAACATACAATTCTGAATTCTGAAAAGGAAACATACAATAAAGGCTTACATGAAATGTCATCCTGAGCAGTTATTAATTTGGTTTGTTTTTACTAGTTTCTTTTTTTTAGAATAAAAAGTGTAAGAAAACAAATAAACCTGTCCAAAGGGCATTAGTGTGATTTTAGAAACAATGAGCCAGGAAATAGTGACTATTACTGTAATGCTAACTATAGTGAATGGAAATGATACGCTAAAGTTCTCACAAATTGAGGAATTTTCATAATTTTTTTTTTTGCTATCAGCAAGGTGAATAGTAAATGCATTTGGTATTGCTGAATTTTCAGAATCTATTATTGTTAAGGGACATTTCCTCAGTTTTGTGGCTTTACAGATTTTCAGTCAAGCAGTGGGTTTCACATGTTAATTTGATACTTAGAAGATCTTGGAGCAAGTGAGAAGCAAAGACACAAACAGTAAAAATAAATGTGGAGATGAGGAGGTAACATTTTTTAAAGATAGCATTAAAAAGATTTTGAGTTTCTCAATTTCTTCCTGTAGAAAAAAAGAAACTGTTGGCAATTGACCTGATATGCCCTAAACATGAAAGATAAGTATATGTAGTTATATTACATTTATATTTCCAAATCCCAAAGAAAACATAAGACACAATAGATCATTTAGACTCAGAATAAGTGATTCATTAAATCTGTCGGTTTGGTGAAAGATGGTTTCAGGATATAAGGTGCTTGTGAATCTGTATTTAATATGAAAGGGGATAAATCAGTTGGGCTTAGATTATTCAAAAGTGCTTTATTTTAAAATTATACTTTGGGGAACATTTAGGTTTTCATATCTTGTTTAAGTTTGAGAAGCTTTCATAAAGAAATTGCACAGTTGATTTGTTTATATATTTATTCCTGGTCTCTTTATATATACCTTTATTTGTGCACTTCTAAAAGTATATTGATTACTTTAAATGTGGAATTTTCTCAACACATACAGAGATAATTTTAAACATCAGAGAGAGATTATTTTAAACTGTTTATGTTTTATCTATTCCTCATCAAAATAATTATGGCACATATAAATTCTAAATTTTACTATTACTGATGAGAAATAGTTTGTTTTACAAATTAAAGTGATTTTATAATTAATCAAAAGATCTTTATATTCATTGAGAAATTTGAGATGTTCTTCAATATGAGTATTACTACTAAATTCTGAAATTATTACAAATATCTGGGGTGAAACACTTAAAATTGCCTTTATTCTTTATATTTTCCTCTGTTTTACCCACAGCAAGCACCACTAAAAAACCAATAGTTATTGGATAAAAATTACACCTTACTGAATGCCAACCTAAATTATTTAAATTCATAGTTGATTTTTTCCCTGGTTGAATTTTGTCAAAATAGGAAAGCTCATCATTCCCAAATGAAGGAATACTGGTTAAGAGTAATTTTGTCCTTGTGCTCCCTATTAAGGATTCCAATTTAAGAAAAATTATTTCTCATGATACTTTAAATAGATCACCACAAGTACAATGATCTTAGTTGGTGCCATATGAGTGAGCTCATCTTCTGGAAAAGAGAAGATATACTAAGAAAAATATACTTCATTTGATTAAACATTTTTTCCCTTAAGATATCAAAAATTTTTCAAATCACAAGTGATAGGGGACAGACAGACATGAGTAGTGGGAACATGATGTTGAGAGAATAATTCTATAAAATAGGCCCATCATACTGACTCCCACAGGCTTTCACATTTAAAAATTAATTTACCTGCAGCCCTCTTGTAACAGGACATGTTACATTCCTCTGCAAACAATCTGTTATCTACAGGGAGAAATCTAAGCCTCAAATGTCCAAGAAGATCCTGAAGTGGGGGAATTTTGTAATGCTTACATAGACCAGATCCCAGAACTCAGGGAGATAAAAATAACCCTCCTAACCATAAAATCTTCAAGAACCGGTTCCAATTAGAACTGGTCAGCATGGGACAAAGTGAGCTAGAGAGGTCATGGAAGTAGGGACTTGAAAGTCTGATGTTATCCTGCTGTCAGTCAAAAGTCAAAAGTTGGGCATGAGTGGGAATCTCTGAAAACTTTCCTGGAATCCTCAGTAAAACTGGCAGGCAGGATCCACTCTCTGAAAAGACCCACACTCTCCCTTGAGAGAATTCCTTTTTCTTCTTTTCTATCTTTTCTAATAAACACATGTCTATTACTCTGAGTGACAGGTCTGAATTTTCTGGACTGATAACAAGAATTGGGGTTTGAAGTGGGTTCTCCATGCTGCCTCCATTTCATGGTAAGCCCCAGCCCTACAACAACAAGGAATTACATTATTATTCTAATAATTTACAATGGAAACTTTTGTGTCATGCAAATGTTAAAAATGGTCCTGCTGGGTTTTACTACAGTGCTACATTTATATCCATTGTCACAACCCAAAAGAGTTTATCAAGGATTTTCAATCTGGTCTTTTTCATTAAATAGGCACAGTCACAAAAGCGAAATTAAAATATCAACTGATTATTTTAGGAATGTCAGAGAAGTATTCACAAAAAATCCTTTGTAAATATGAAATGCCTAGGATCTACAATTGCATTGAATATGGAATAAAAAATAGGTAAAATACACATTGAAAAAAAATGAACACATCTTCATTCAGCCACTAACAAATGTGGGTTATTGAATAAGAAAAGAAAATTCTGTTAATGGAGCTGTGCAAATCCATTTCTAAGAATGAGTAGGGGCATCACAAGTCTGCTGGTGGTGAATTAGTAAAGAGTAGCAGCCCTGATAGACATGAGATGGATAAAACATAAAACTATTGTTTTTAAACAAGAACACCAGGATGGAAAATTCCTGTCTGGAAGCCATGCTCACTGATATAGTTTTACTATTAGGGGACAGACATTTGTGAGTGGTGGGAATATGAGATTAAGGGAATAATTCTATAAATGGGCCCGCTGTGATGACCCCCACATGCTTTCTGTTCCAAGAAGAAATTTACCTGAATCCCTGCCTGTCCTAAGTGGGCAGGATGTGTCACATTCCTTAGCAAACTACCTGTTATCTGCAGGAGAAATGCAAGCCCTAGATAACAAGGATGGGAGGAACCCAGGAGACTTTTGTGACCAGATGCTGAAACTCAAAGAGATAAGGATAATTCCTCCTAACAATAAAGTCTATAAGAATGTACAGTTAAGAATTCAATAAACACATTCCTGCTATTCTGAGTGACATGGCATGGAAACTTTCTGACTTGATTGCATGAATTGGGGTTTGAAGGGTGGGTCTTCATGCTGCCTCAGTTTCCCAGAAGGTCCCAGCTCTGTAACATTCCCACTGCTTCTCATCTTCTTCTTTTCTTTATTTTTATGAAGGGGTGGTAGATCAGTCCAAAAGAAGTGTAGGGTCTTAAAAAACATTCATACAGCATATAATATGTGTGCTTTACAAATATTAACTTGTCAAATCCTTGTAACAACACTATAAACTGACTACTATTATTTTTATCATTTTATAGGTGAGGAAACAGAACTAAGAGATTAAAAAAATTGCTGATGCCCGAGTTGAATAAAAACCTGCTGGATTTCAGAGAACATGCTGTTAACCACTAAGGAATATTGGTTTTTTTTTACATTCTAACCTACCCTTCCTCGACTGTATAAGCCAGAGTCAGGGCAAGATAATGCAAAGAACATTTAGTTAAGGGAACCTTAACTAAGAAGAAATAATAATACCAGGAAAATTTAGATGTAACCAATGAAATCATTGACTCTACAACATAGACGTCAAGTTAGGGACTTGATCATTGTTTTGGGAAAGAAGATGTGCCAATAGAATTCTGATCCTCTTAAGCCTTTTACAGAAATCTCACCCAGAAACTTCTGCTTCCATTTCACCATTTAAACATGACCCTCATGACCATTACTAATTGGAAGTTGACTAAAAAATAAAAGAGATCTATATTAGGTTGGACTCAATGAAAACTATTTTAAAATAATAATAATTCACTAGGAAAGCAAAAAAAAAAACATTCACACACAGAGATTTCATTACAGCAACATTTAAAAGGGCAAAATATGGGAAGAAAGCAATAATGAAATATTAATGAGTTAGTACACACTGTAAGTATAAAATATTAGCAGTGGATTTCCCAGGATAATGAAAAAGTGGGTGATTTTCAAGTTTTTGTTTTGTTTTGTTATTGGTACATTATAATTATATAAAATATTGGGATACATTTATACATGCACATAACTTAATTTGGTCCATTTCTTTCCCTCTCCTTTCCACTCCTCCTTCCACTCTCCAATCCCCATCTTCAACTCTACATGACTTCCTCTATTTTCATGAAATCCATTTTTTCTATTTTCTTTCTTCTCATCATATGAAAGAAAGCATTTGTCCCTTGAATTTCTGAGAGTTATTTCACTTAACATTCTGTTTCCTTCAAATGACAAAATTTTATTCTCCTTTACAGCTGAGTAAAATTCCATTGTGCTTATATGCTACATTTTCTTTATATATTCACCTGTTGACAGACACCCAGACTGGTTCCATAACTTGGCTATTGTAAACTGTGCTGAAGTAAACATGGGAATGCATGTATCTCTATAATACATTTACTTTAGTTCCTTTGTATAAATACTAAGGAATGGTATAGATAGGTAATATTGTGGTTCTTTTGCTAGCATTTTGAGGAAACTCCAGCCTACTTTCCAGAGTGGTTGTATTAATTTGTAGTCCCACCAACAATGTATGAATGTTATTTTTCCTCATATCCTCACCAACATTTTATTATTTGTATTCTTGATGATTGCCATTCTTACTGAAGTGAGATGAAATTTCAGTGTAGTGTTGATTTGCATTTCCCTCTTTGCTAAGGATGTTGAACATTTTTTTTTCCACATATGTGACACCCATTTGTATTTCTTCTTTTGAGAAGTATCTGCTTAGGTGACTTTCAATTTTTTTAGGTATAGTAATCTGAATTTATAATGAGTACTATACATTTGCAGACTTTTTCAAACAAAATAAAATTTGAAAGCATAAAAAATACCTTGACCTGGACCAAGAAAGAAAACAAGATTTATTTGATTAAGACAGCATCCCTCTCTAAGGCAGAAAATACATAAAGAAACTAGGCTTCATAAAAATAAAGAACAAGAGCAATTCAAAATATCTCAGTAACTTCTGCACCATTTCTCCAGGGTACTTCCATATGATCCCTTAGTTCTGATTACCCTAGTATTTGCATGTCATTACTCAAAAACCAAATTCTTACCAGGTGCAGTGCCACACTTCTCTAATCCCAGTGACTCAGGAGGCTGAGGCAGGAGGATTATAAGTTTGAAGCCAGCCTCAGCAACTTAGCAAGGCCCTAAGGAAATTAGCAAGATCCTGTCACAAAATAAAAAATAAAAAGGGCTGGGGATATGTCTCAGAGGTTAAGCAACCCATGAGTTCAATTACTGGTATCAAAAAAAAAAAAGAAAAGAAAAGAAAATTCTCTGAAGAAAAATCTGCAAAGCCTAGATTGGATCACATACCCACCCTGTCACCAGGGT